CTATGCTAGGGCCTGAAGGACTCCTGTGAAAGTACGGTCAGAGATATGGAACATGCCACAAACCAGAGCCAAAAGAGCACAGAATGGACAAGCATATCTGGAAGAGATCAAAGCAACATCAACAAAAATAGCAGGTAGAAAGCAGCGTATGATTTTTCAGAAATGATTTTCATACAAATAGGTTTACTTTCCCTTTGGGGAAAAAAGCGAGCTGCATGTCCTTTAGAAACAGTGCTGGTATTATTCATGCTGCCAACCAAACCACTCAAGCTGCAGAACCTTTGCAGTTACCACAAGTGTAATACAAAAAACACCAAAAACCACTTACTTCCTTTTTTCCCCCCTGAGTATTGACATTCTTGTGCAGTATTAGGAGAGCTAATTTAGCTTCCAGTTCTAAGAATTTTTGAATCTATAGCCAGTAATTATTTGCATTCAGGGGTACAAAAGAGGAAAACAAAGCCCACAAATTCTAGCACATTCATGTGGGATTGGGAGTTGAATTAGGATCCTCACACCCCATTGAATTATCGGCCCCCCTATTAGAGCCTTATTAAAATGGTAATGATTATAATGCCAGTCATAGGCAGGCTGTCGCACCTGTCAAAAAAATACCCCGATTATCCTGTTCATTCAACTGTCTGGCACTCGAATCCGTGTCTCAGGTTTACTAGTCTGTGAAGTTTTTCTTTTTTTTTTTTCTTTTTATTAAGAAGAAGAAAAGATACAAGAACAAACACTTCCACAAAGGTGATAAAAAAATCCCCTCTAATTTAGCACATCTACTGCCCATTTGGTGTTATGGTATCTAGGACAGCAATCTGAGGAAACAGATACTATTTCACTGCATTTCTCTATAGGGAGGAAGAATACAGACAGCTACACTAAAATTTTTTTATAAAAAAGTACACTTTTTTAAGAACAAAAAGAACTGCTGTCCTTCCCTCTTCCACACATGCACACACCATTTCTGCGCACAACCAGGATTGTGTTACTTAGAACAGCAAAGTCTTCCTATACAGCATTCAGATGGTTTAAAGGGATAACCCCCCCAATGACCAATGTTCATCTCAGTCCTCAGGTTTTATTACTGAAGAAAATATATTCACTTGTTTTCGCCTTTAAAATTAGTGAAAATATGATTCAATCTAAGCAGCACAAATCTAGGGTCTAATCCTGAACAGACACTTAGTAAAGAGGAACTAAGCGTTGCAGACCTCAGCAGGCTTTCAATTCTGAATCCTACAGAGATTATTTCAACTGTTGTTGTTAATAGCAGGAACAACAATAATTTTAATAACAATGAAAAGACGAGGAGACACTTGGCTTCCCTCCTCCCAACAAAATTTGTCCTGTTGTCTGGTCAAGTAGAGACAGTGCACAAAGGTTCCTGAGGATTTTAACTGATAGTCAAGTGGAGAGATGATCAAATATTTTTTACCCTATTCAAAAGATGCCTTTCCTCTTTCCTCTGCGGCAGTTCTGCGAGTTTGTCAAATACCGCCGTATAAAAGAAAGCCAGTGGAAGAGGAGTTAGGGGCTGAATGCCTTCAATGGCATCTGAGACAGATGCTATGTCAGTAAGTGCCCAGAAGCCTTGGGGAAGTGGAGCAACCAACAAAAGACCGGGTGGACTCTGTTTGTTTTGGTTTGTTCCAGAAAAACATTTTTGAGGAAACATAAAAAAGCCAGGGTTTTCTTTGCCTTCTCAGTAAAGTAAAATGTAAGAACTGCACTTAGCAGGTGTCTGCTCCTGAATGCATGAAACACTAGATTTGATTCTGTTTTCACAGAAGTAACCAGCAAAATTCCCTTCCCTTTTAGAAGCTCACCTATTAACCTGCTTAATGATTCCCATGCTAAGATAATAGATATTGTAGATAGACTTTGGCAGAAACCATCCCTAAATACCATTATTTTTAAGCCATTCACTGTGTTTCTAAATGCATTTTCTGAGATCACAATAGCTATGGGAATATTTTTTCACAGGAAAGGGAACAGAATTTGAAGAGATGTTCTAAAGAAAAGCAAGAAGTGACTGTAGACTTGTTACCAATAGACGGGTGAACTAACAGTGTGCAGTTGCTACATATCACCTCCTCTGCCTAAACACACACACATTTATTTTTGGACCCGATGCCCCTTATCATTCTGTTTTCTACTTTCTTAGATGATAAATACTTAGCAGGAAGGATTGACGCTGCTTATTCAGTGCCTGCAAAGGGAGCACTGTGCCTACAAGAGGCCTTTGAGCTCTTTAATAACATAGTGATTCTTTTTCTAACACTCCAGTTATCTCCATGGGAGCAGAGCAGGCCAAGCCTGAACACTTTCAGAAGTCCTGTCTATAAATAATTGCAATCACTTAACCCAAAATCCCTCATGCTCACATGTTCAAATAGAGAGGTCTGAGTAATGTGGTTAAACAGTGGGAAATAAGCAGTCTATACACATTTTCGTTCTCCCCTTCTACATCTGGGAGGTGACCGGAGGGCTGAGCCAACCTGTGGATCAGCTTCAAGCAGCTTCTAGGTCGTCACCTCAACTTTTGAAAAGGGTTAAGGACCCTCCGAGGACAGCATCACTAACCTCACGGCATTTTCTGCTCTGACTCGGCTGCCTACTTGCTTTTCCTCGCCTAAATTTGCCTGTGCCAAGTCAGAGCCACCCCCCCCCTTGCTATCTGAATTGCTGCAATAAGCATCCTCGGTCCTTCATGCTGTCCTTGGAAGAGTATCCATAGTCAGACGAATGGACGGGGAAGCAGCAGCTCCTGAGGAAATGTGAGAGGCAGACAGGCAGGGGCAAAAGAGTAGTTAAGCTATAGAAGGAGGTAAGAGCGAGGCGAGATGGCAGACAGGTGTTCTCCGACTGTATTTCTGTATGGGGCATGTTGCCCCGACATAGCAAAGAACAGCTGAGGTCACGTGAACACAAGCTGTTTCCACAATGCAGCGCATGCAGAGAGCCTCAAGGGAAGAGAAAATGCCAGAAAATTAGAAAGGAGAAAAGAGGGGGCATCTCATCTCACTTTCCTTGATCAAATACCTACAGTAAAATTCAGAAAAATCACTTCTGAAAGTACTGCAAAGAGAATGCCTGAAATGATAAAATACCACCACAGCATGGAGGCCAACAGCTCCGCAGAGAAGGGCATCAGAGGTCACCTCACAGATTGCTTGCTCACTTAGAATTCAGTGGAAAGTGATGAAAATGTGAATGTTTGGGGAGCTCCCCCAGGTTACGTTCTCCTCTTTCAGTCATTTTCCTGCTCAAATTTCACCAACACTCACGTGATTATGCGGCTTTTCACTTCAAGTGAATGCATGTTGCCAACCTTGTTGATGTGGTAGCTAGAGAAACTATCCATTCCTTCAGAAAAATTCTGAACCAGAAACAGGCCACCTACCCGTTATTAGCTGAGGTTACCAGTTAAAAACCTATGAAGGGAACCACATGAATGGAGGGCAGTGTGCATGTTTTATTAGTTTGAACAACAAGGGAATAGATGGATGAAAGATAAGGTAATGATTTGTGACAGAGGTCCAAAATTTGATTTAAACAATTAAATTACCCTTCTAAGAGATCCCCAAGGAAATCTATTAAAATACCATCTTCCCCTATCCCCAAAGTATACAAAAGCTGCCTAGTAACTGTCCAGTATCACTTCCTTTGTGACATGTTGGATGATTCCCAAGACAAAAACCATATGCTGTTAGATGAATGGTAGAGCAATCAACAAGGAAAGGCTATTCTTTAAGTCACATGCCCTGCAAAAAGAAAAACTAACAGCCATCCAACAAAGTTTGCTAGTAGAAAACACAAGGTCTAATTCCGCTCACTTGTTTTTTCAGTATACTGAGAATGACTCTCAGATGAGAAAAAGTAAGATCACAGCACTTCTGAGACATAAAAGCATTGCAGCCAAAAGAAATCCCTCCGGTTCAGAGAAGAACACATCAGTGAAAATGGGTTGGCTCATAGTTGATCAACATCTTAACCCCTTTATCAGTTCCCTGCAGTTTTGCATTGAAGCTTAAGCTTTCCGTCTTACTGCCACCCTGTAGCCATCTTACATTGTTGTTATACCACAGGCCAGTCTAAAGCCAGTCCTACTAAATATTGCTATTTAAACCCAGAAACACCAGCTGTGACGAATGGAGGGGATATCGACAGAGGAAGGTAAAATAAACTTCTGCATCATGACAGAGTTAAGGGAGAATTTTATTTGACTGATGAACCTAGATATAACTGTGGGCCTAAAAATAATACTTACAGACAAATGTGGAATGCAGAGTAAGACATTGAGCAGTAGGTTAGGTTCTTACATACCTATACCTCTTAGGTTCTTACATGCCTATGTTACATCTTGGGTGCCCAATGTACTCACCACTGAATATTGGGTCTACAGATGACAAGAAAAAAAGCCATGCACAGATGTGGCATTTTGAAACACCAGCTTGGTACATGATACTAGAAAGGAATAGATAAGGCCTTTCTGTTTCAGATAAGTAAGAGCCACCCACATGCTTATCACAGGTAAGAATACTTCCCTACATGTCATTTTTGATGTTTTATCCACTCTCATTATAAACGATAAAAAATAATGAATTTTCAGTCGTCTACTCTGTACAGTGAAACATTCTGCATTCAGATGTGATTTTTGAATCTCTGAAGCAAAAGCATTTTTTAATGAGCAAAGCTCATTTTGTGAGGTAAGCATACTTTTCAGGTTACTGCCCTGTCCACCTGCATGCCCCAGATCCAGAAAGATTTAGGTACTCACATAACTTTCACTGTATTTCTGTTCCAGAATAACAAAAAACCCATTACAATGTGCTAAATTTTAAGCAAATAAGTTGAATATATTTAGGCAGATGCACACAGTTAAGTCTTTGCAGGATCTAGACTTGACAGGAGACCTTTGTCCAGCTGTAGAGGTCTACATGAAACACAGAGGGGAGCTTTATAAAGCTCCTTTCTGAAAGGGTTTTACTTACCCTAGCCTTGCACATTTTCAATTCCAGGACATTAAAGTCCATGCAGCTGATCAATGATCTCCCGAAACTCCTGCAAAAATCAGCAAGAAAAAAAGAAAGACATTTTTACCAGCCATGATTTCACTTCTCTTAGGGAAAACTCCCAACTTCTCAGAAAACTAAAGGAATTTCAGAGCCCACACTCCATATATTTTCCAGATATATTTTCCCCTGCATATGATTAGTTACGATCCTGAAGCCAAAACCCCAGATCTGAACAACTGCCCAAACCCTTCTTCAGTCTGGCCCCAAGTCTAGTTAGCATTCAGTTCAGAATTTCCTGCTTTGACTGTGAAAAGGAGCAGTTACCTCTTTCATAAGCTGCTTTAGAGAGGGAAGAAAAAGAAGAAAAGAAAAAAGAAAAATTCTGTCCCTGAAAAGCTTGAATAGATGCATATCATTATGGCTGTAGTAGGAGTGACTGGGGCAAGTACCTGACAATATACTGAGGCTGAAACCCAGTGTGATTTACCAAAGTCAAGATTTTGACCGTAATTGAAGTTTTGCTCCGTAATAGACTTCTGCTAAGTTCTGCAGAGCTGCTGCCTCACCTCAGGGAAAGGTAGGGTCCCTGTGGTAATATTTCTGTGGATCCCTAAATATCTGACACTCTGCTTAGACATGTCCATTTAAATCCTGAATGGCAGCTGAATCCTGTCCGCTTAGATTATACCTAAATATGCAGAGATTCCTTGTCGTGATGTTCTCCTGCTTATCTTGTCTGCAAGACTTCACTATATGTGTTCCCTCTGCATGCCTACTGGAGCAGCCACACACAGATTGGAGAAACGGGGCATTTCTAGCTTACATGGCTGCCTGCTTAGCATACTTGTTTTTGGGCGTCCCACTCCCTCCTGCCTGCTTATCCTCAAACCTTACTTATGGATCCTGGGTCACCTAACTTTGGGCTGTGGATGCCCCGGGTGATGCCCTTGAAGCTGCAAGGTTCAGTTTATGGTTGCAGCTTTGAGTCTCTCACTCAATGAAGTCCCTGCATGGAGGCCTGTGCTAGCTGGGACTTGGTCTTCACAGTATTATTTATTTTGCCATGCTTCATAAAGATTTTCTCTCAGTGATGACTCACCCAACAGTTTTACATATAATCACTAGGACAACTGAAACTCAAAGTCTCCATGCAAGAGTTTGACTCCTCACAGCTGTATATACCAAATAAGAACGAAATCAGTGGGATTATTCCAGATTACCTTGTTTCAAATTCAGACCAGATCAGGCTCATGAATTTATATCCCAGTTGCAAACTGCACTGAAGCATATTGAGCCCCACTGCAGTATCAGTTGGGTGTAACTACACTGAAAGCAAGAGAGATACGAGCAATAGATAACCAGGAATTGCACCCAGCCAGCTTTTCAGAGTTAGTCCACTATACATTCAGCAGGTCTTAATGTGATAACAGGAAACCCATTATTTATTAAATTAGTGCATTGGGACTGTTTTTGGCTGGCAATGATCACATAAAACAAGGCCTAAAACGTTCACAATTTTTTCTATAAGCTTGGATGGGGGAGAGAACTGTAGGTTAGCAATACGCTCAAAACTTTTGCCAGGAAACATGTCTGACAGGCATGCAATACTTCTTGCTACTGTTACACCAGCTCAGGACATATAGTAGGGGCCGTCTTGCTGGAAACACAGAATAAAGCAGTTGTTAATGTTTTGTTTTTCATTCAGACTATTGTCACAGGCAGCAGGAGAACTGCCTTGTCAATATAAAGCAGACAGTGGATTAGTAAGCTGTTCCTAAGGGCTTACATTGAAGAGCATCTTCCCCCAGTATTTTGGTCTACAACAACCTGAATCTCCCAGTGACAGAGGGAAACAAAAAAATCACTTTTGCTTTCCTTATGAATGAGCTTGTCCCCTTTGTAACTTCACGGCTTGCTAAAATGACTAGGAATACACTATAAAATAACCAAACAGTTTTGCAAATGCTCCTAAATAATCAAATCCCTCTGACAGGGACAGAGCCATTAGTCCTCATTTAGGTAAAACCAACACAAGGTAAAGTGCATGAAACAGCACACAGCAAGGAAGAGATGGAAACGCACAGCAAGCTCTCTGTCGTATACTGTGCAATTGCACGGATGGCACTATTAGGCGCTATGATTAGAGTGCACTGTTTCCACATCACCTGAAGTGGAGTACTCGCATTTATTTATTTAGCATGCATTTATCATGTCCAGACAGTAGCCAGCACACAGTCAGTTTACGTCCTCCTTTGTCTCAGTTTCGACAAGCATACAAGCATTCAGGATTTAACCCGGTCACTTCAGATGTAGGGAAGATCGTGACACTGTAAAAGGAATACACCAAAATCACCTGGAACACACACACTCTACCTTTGATTCTTGCCTTTGACATTTCCGGTGTGACCCTGGTCAAGCTACTTCATCTTCAGGCCTCGAGTTTCCAGGTGTAAAACATCCTTGACTCTCCATGTGTCCATCTCTTCTGTTGAAGAGCTTTGAGTCAGGGCAAGAAGGAAGAGGTTTGTCTTCCAGCATATATTTGTGCAGTGCTTAGCACAACAGGGCCTAAATGCCCTAATACAAATAACAAACAGCAGGTGTACGCTTCCAGTGGGCCTTTTGCCAGTCATGTTTCCAGTAACCCAGGAAGAAGTGTTAGTTACTAACATGAAAGAAAGGAGGGAACGAGGTTTGGGGAGCTGGTGCAGGGGTGCCCTGTTCCTAAGCCGCATGGAGCCCAGCTACACAAGGGCTGTCTGTGCCTCCGTGTGAAGCCAAAGAATCATTTCCAAATTTGTGAGCCAAAAGTATTACACTTTTTTGGACACCTCCATTTGCCTGGTTGATCCTTTCTACACCTCTCGTCCCAGCAGCTCTCTCATTGTTTCTTATCTCCCCTCTACAGGCTCTTTTCTTATTTTAGCCAGAGCAATGTAGGGTTTATTTCCTCCGCTTTCCCTCCGGCCAGCCCCCTCTCCCCACACTCCCCTGCCCTGGCCCCCATTCTGCGTATTTGAAACAAAAGTGTAAACTTCAGAAACTATTTGTATTTCACGGGCATTCACACATTATGCCAAAACGATGGCCCAAAAGTTTGGCGGGTAATCTCTCCCCCAGCATTCGTGAGCTGATGATGAATGGCTGTGAAGCCTTTGTGATTGCTCAGGCTCCATTGTGGCTCAGACAATGGAGGAGGACACAAGTCTGGCTCAGGAGAGCAACGGATAAAACTGTTGGGGAGAATGGCGGGCTCCTGCCGACATGACCACTTGTTGACATTGAAAGGATTCAAAAACAAGTGAGCAGAAACAGAAACGATTCTGTTCGGCAAGGCTATTAGTTGCAACGTGTGGCACTGGAGCGGTCACTCCTGATGTGTTTCCTCGCTAATGAGCCCTGAATGCCCTATTAAACTGGGATGCTATAGGCCCAGCGCCACTGGGGCAATGCTATGCATGAGTGACTCCCCCAGCACCTATTGGCTGCCTGCATGAAGGAAGCAACTGGCAACACTCAGATTTAAACAGGGCTGACAGTACAGTTAAATGATCGTTAATTAGACTTGCTGAACAGATAGAGACTCAAAGCAATTCTTAATGACAAGATAACAGTCTAGCATTACTCAGCTTTGAGCAAGTTCAAGCTTGCACCCTGTCTCCGGCTTTGTACCGTACAGACAGGCATCAAATTGATTTGAGTTTCATTCATATATTTACAAATCAAAAGAAATGCCAACCCTGTGCTGAGGGAGTTCTAAAGACTGAAAGTATGCTTCTGTGTTAAAAATAGAGTTTGTACAGAAAAGCTCACATTAGAAAACAGAAAAGAGAAGAGAAAAAAGAAGCAGCCATCTATTAACACGTTTGGAAATGAATCCATAAGAAACCTGCCACTTACCTTTTCCTGTGTGCTCTTTCATCAGCCACTCTCCCCAGTGCTTGACACACACTGCTCATCCGACCTTAGTCCAGCCTTACGACTCAGCTCCACGGTTTGCTTGACTGATTACTATATGCGAATTTGGGAAAACAAGAGAATACACTATTACAGTATCAGGCATTAGAAGCAAAGTGTCAGAATGAGAAATGAACTCTCTGGCTTGAGGGTGCATCCTCATCCACTGATTTGGGAAGGACCTTTCCCTGAGGGCACGTTATCTCCTCATCACCAGCTTCTGTGTGCGTTGCATCATTTGATGAAATTGTATGTATAGCCTGTCCTTGGAACAGGATATTGGGTTAGCATGAGGGTAATTTCTTATCAAAAATCCTGTTCTGTGAAGAACATTATTGCCTATATATTCCTATGGTGTTATATAATTGTTTCACAAATACACAGTACAGTTTCTAAAGGCTCGGGGCATGCACAGGTTCTCACATGTGTAAGTTCTCACTAGGGACTGAACTCTTGAAGTGAAAAATGTATGTTTGGGACTAGAATAGGAAAGTATCAAAGTATTTATAATCAAAGTAGTTGACACTTGGAAGTGTATTGTTTATTTAGCACTAGAGTTTCTGTAAGCTGATATTCTTAAACGGTGGCAATTACACTGCAACAACTACATTAGTTCCCTAATAGGGTATGTAGGAGTATATGCATATGTAAGTGACACAGTGAACTAGGAATAGTTTTCTTGAATAAAACATAAGATTATATAAACTCTTAGCAGTCATTATTCTGAAACTTCCCGAATAATTCTTCTGCATATTTTAAGGAACAAGGATAGTTTTAGGTGGGAGGTGGATGTTGGCTATGACGAGAGATTGTTCCAGATTGTTGAGAAACCAGCTTTAGCAATTATTTATATTTTACATTAAATAGTGCAATATGATGCACATAATATAATACAATTACATTATAAGATTTTTAAAATAATTTTAAGATTTTTTAAGAATCCCCAAATAGTATCCAACACAAGAGAGGCCTGGTTCAGAGGGTTTCTGAGTAATTACTGAATGCAAGAAATCAAATGTTTGCTTTCATCTCTTTCCTCCCCCCGCCCCCATTCAAAGAGTAGCTTTTCCAGAGGAAATTCCAATTTCATGGTAGGTGCTATCATATCATCTAAGAAATGTGTTGTCATTCTCATCTTCTTTTAATTTTTTTGATGGCAGACTTTTGCAGTTGTTTTTTGCTTCTTTTTCTTTTTAAATTAGGCAGTGAAAGCTTAAGTAAAGTGAGAAGGAGCCTGTGCTCTAAATAAATGATCTTATGATGTGGGCCATGTCAGTTAACTAGTGTCATAGCAAATACAGACTCGCAGTGCTAGTGCCATGCAGTCACACGCAGGCTCTGTGTGTTCGTGCATGTGTGAGTACACACATGCACAAACACATAGATCTTTGTAAGCCTTATCGTCAGGAGGAATATCTGCACAAAGTGTAATAGCAGGAAAAGGAGAAGAAAACATATAGAAAATTCAAGCCTTCAGTTTCATCAGAAAGCTGTATTCCTTTTAAACTCTTCACAGTGGCACAAGAATCGAGCTGGCTTTTCATTCCTCCTAGCCTCCCTCAGCAGACAGAGTCCAGATTCAGGGGATTATTCTCGGAGGGGAAAGGAGGTAGATGAGAGTCAGGCCTGGGATTACAGGAGGATGCTATATTTCCCTTTGGCAGTGGGGCAAGCGTTGCTCCATCATCACGCGGGAGGTGAAAAGCTGCTTGTGAATGCCGTATTGCTTAATAGGTTCAAAATCTTGCTTTGTTAAGCACAAAATTTTCCAAGCTACAGGGGAACCAGCAAGGTGCTAATGCAGAGGCTGTGATAACCTTTCAGGTAACGTGAGCCTCACCGTGTTTCACTGATCAACAAGACTGGGCGAGAGGAGGAGGAAGCACACTCTCTCTCTGACTCACTCCATCAATGTCAGGAATGTCTCTCTCCCCAGACAGCACCGCCAGCATCCCTTCCAGCTCACCCAAACTGAACTGGAGATGGTAGCGGGCTTGCACGTTTTGAGCCGTAAAACGCTGGTCCAGGGCATGGCAAAACTCTCTCTGACATCATGAGGCTGGGAGGGGGGGGTCTATTTTACACTAGCAGCAGGAGATCAGCCTCTTTGTTTGGCAGGAAAGCCAGTCTATCTACATCAAATTCCAGCACTGAGATGCTTAATGAAGTTCAAATTTTCAGATGACTCAACAAGATCTATTAATTAGTTTCTGACTTCTATGCATCAAAAATAGCTTCAGATAGTAAATCTCAAGATTTGTTGAGCCTATCATAACTAAAAAATCCACATTATTTTTTCCTAATGAACAAACTGTAGGCATCTCTCTGGAACAGTGAAGGATCAGGGTTGATTAACAAAATGAAAATGTAGCCAAAAATCTTGCATGCTTCTAGAGAATCCCTCTGGTTTTATAATTTTGTGGAGCTTTCCATAACACATTCTGTGGGGCTTTTCCATAAGGGAGGTGAGAACATCAGGGACCGTATAACAAAGATGAGAGGAGGGAGTGACACAGATATTGATTCAGCTTCTATACAAATTCTAGGAGGGAAGGTTTTGTGTCGTTATCTAAAATTGAGACAGAAACTGAAAGACAAAGATATCAGTAGACACTTGCCTCAGAGAATTTGTAAATCAGCTTGTTACGGTAATATTTGTATAATAATTCCTATTTTAATTTTCCAGTTCATACTTCCTTTACGCACACGGTTGCTATGATGTCTAGAGGTCCCAACTGAGAGGGGCCCCAGGATGCCAGGCACAGTATGAACATATAGGCTTTGTTATGTTAAAGCCCACATAATAATTACATCCTCCTCTTGGTAAAGGGACCATTGAACAGGAGTATTGTATATTTGCTATTGTCTCCCCCTCCTTTGATGCATGGGCTGAACTCTCATTAGGGCCTAATTGGACTTTTGCAATGTGCACTGAGTGGAGAATATACCTGTGTGTTCCCCCTGCGCAAGGACTGCCTGGGAGTAGGGCCGCTTCCTTAGGGGAAGTTTGTGAGCTGCTCTGCACCAGCTGGCTGAAGGCCTCCGAGGGCAAAGCACTTCCCGGAGCGCAGCCAACTCAGGCTGCCAGGAACGGCAGCGGCGGGTACAGCTACGCCGTTTTGGGATGTGCTCGTGCCACAGGAGTCCCCAGCCGAAGCAGGGCAGAGCACTGCAACTCTGCAAGGCCCCCGGTACTTGCAAAGAGGAGAGATTCCTGGTCTGACTGCAGCTTGCCCCAAGTGGCGTGCTTCTTTCACTTTGTAGCGTACCGTTATGGCGTTCAGATTAGACCGCGTTTAATCCATGGCACACGGGCACACTGTCCGGCTGGGCTTATTTACAACAAAAACAAACAAACAAACAAACGAAAACCCCACATATGCTGCGGTCTCTTCTTCCTCAAGAGGCAGAGTAACTAGCATTGTATTTAAGATAAGTTGAGAAAGCAACGTATGACCAGCCTTCTTATCCACTCATTTAATTATTAGCTATCCTCTGTTGATATAAACCTGGTGTTCATTCCATTTGAACTCTGCTGAAAATGAAAACCAAAGCTAACCCCTCCTCCCAACACCCCCCCCCCAAAAAAAGTTTTGTTGCGAAACATGAATGACATTCAAAGGAATGTCATTTCTGTGAAGTTTCAATAAAAGCAAAGAGCATTCAGATGCATAAAACTATAATGTCTCCAGTCTCCGATACCTCTGTACCATATGGCCAGAGAGAAGCAGATGGGCTGGGTCACAGCGGGGGAAGAGTGGGAGAGACTCTGGATTGTTATCTGACCCAGTGGGCCAACACTAACACACTGTCCCTAGTGACCAGACTATTATTACCAAAAAGATCTGATAAGAACGTGATCCTCACATTTATTTGCCCTCAGGTAGTTCTCACATGTGACGCCCGATCAAAATGACCTTTTTTTGCAGATGTTTGTTTTGAGGCTGGAACATTTGACTCACAAAGAAGCAACGGACTGTGCAGCACTTGTCTTTTATTGATTTTAGAGTGCAGGTTATTCCTATCTGTTCACTTGCCTAAAGTTCAGAACACGGTTTGTCTAAACAAGATAAATTCAACAAAAAATAATGTAAAAAAATTTGTTATTTTCTTATTGCTGTTTGTCAGCGGCAGTGCAAACATAGCCTGGAAAAAATAAAGCAGAACAGCATGGTCCCTGTCAGAGAAATCCTGGGATTTCTGATATGATTACAGCAGGAGATTTCTATGTTTCTGTGTTTTTCAATTAGCTGCCTTGTATTAACAATTACAAAAGTCTCCCAAACTATTAAATCAGTCGTCTAGGTGTCTAAACATCACATAGAAAGAGTCTTGGGGGTATTATTATGGGAGAAAGGTACAAAATTGCATGAAAAATACTAGCATAACAGTGCTGGAGACAAACAACAGATATTCTTGATTATGATTCAAAGATGCTAAATATTTTACCAGAGCTGCAGAATAGACTCATGAAGGGTAGCTGCACTGCAGGTTTCATTTGCAAGTAGAGTTTCATATTTCTTCTTCTAAAGCACCTTTGAGTCCCTAACTGATGCTGCCCCGAAGGGCTAAGTACCACTATCCTCAGTTTTACATGTAGGAGACCAAAGCAGAAGAAAGCTCAGTACCTGGACAGGGTGCAGAGCTTGTGGTCTCCTGGATCCTGACAGCCGTGCCCCAAATCACAAAACTATCTTTGCTCCCACTGATGGAAAAGGGGACCTCAGCTGTGACCTTGAGGGGCTGATGTTGCTACTCGTAGCTGAGTCCCCATGTGCTTGCAGTATGTGGCTTCAGATGGCCCTGCCAGCCACCCAGCATGCCAAACACAGCAGTGTTCAGCTGTCCTCCAGGAACTGGACTGAAACCAAACTCATTTTATGCAGACCATGCGATAGCTGCCAGACAGCCACAACTTTTGGTGAGGAGCGACCTCGTCGGCCTCAGATTGGTTACACAGAGGTCAACTGTCCTCAGAGGTACTGCTCAACGCTGGTCTGCAAATCAGCACCATATGAAGCTAAACGCACCCGCACAGGCATGGGCCATGGCGCATGGCCCGCGCAACTGCTCCCTACACTGTCCCTTTTTGCCCTCTGACAGCGCTAAAGAAGGAGAGATGAAACTGGTCCCTGGTATGAAAAAGAGCAACTGAAACATGTCCCCTACCCACTTTCATCTGCTGGCCAGACC